CTAAGCTGCCGTTATTATCTAGTCAGGGCAGTGATCAGTTAGCACATCTACAGACCTCACATGCATGAACTCAACAAGTTCCAAGGTGCTAAGCAGAAAACAGAAGTCACAAAAGGGCTATCCCAGCCAGCATCGATCTGTGGGAGCATTTCTCCCTGGTACCCTGACTCCTCATCACCCACATGGGGACAACGGCATGCACAGGGACAATGGCCAAGGGCCTAGCGTGTGGGGATCTGGAGGAGAACTCGTGGCCGGGTCGGGGTGGCCTCCGGTGCTGCTTGCCTAGCTGTCTGCCTCGCAGCACGACTGGGATAGCTTCCCTCTCTGGGCCATGGGTGGGGAAGATGAGCCAGCAGGAAGGGGCGGGCTGCGAGAAACTAGAAGGCACTGAGTCACAAGGACGTGCGGCAGGGACTTCAGCCAATCCGTTTACAGATGAAGAAACTGAAACAGCAGCCAGAAGGGAAGACAAGTTTTGTGAGGCCTGATGTTTCTAAAAATTTGGGGGTGGGGGGATCATTACAAAAAAGAATGCAGAATTAAAATACAAAATGCCTACGGCCACCCAACAGGAGAATGTGAGGCAGGGAAAAGTCACAGTGGAAAGAGAAAGTGGTCTTAACCTTCTGTGGCTAAAATATCTTACTTATCCAAATGTTACCAAAGCATAAGACGTGACTATATTGCTGGGGCCCCTCATGGGGTCCTGAGGGGGTTGGGAAAGGGCTTGTGCTGGGACGGGGTGGCGCCTAGAAGCTTCACGGTAAATCAGCTGATGCAGTCAGCTGAAGGTCCATGGTTGCCAGTCAGCAGTGGCAACTGTGAACTGTGGACATGGGCTGGTGGGGAAGGGAGTGGGACGGGGAGCAGGAAGGCAGGGAATGCGGAAACCACTGCTCTGTAATGGAAGAGATTTTTGGAAGCCCATCAGCTGTTTCCTTCCAGAAACGTGGTCAGAGAAGACCACAAGAGGGTATGTGTGAAGCAAAAGACTCAAGTATCAGAGTCCTCCGTGCAACGGCCTTCCCCAGCTTCCTGGGCACCACCGGACAGGCCAGTCTGCCCTCCGCTGTGCATCCAGGCCCATGGTGTGAGACAGCGGAGGAGGAGGATACACACAGGGGACNTCCGCTGTGCATCCAGGCCCATGGTGTGAGACAGCGGAGGAGGAGGATACACACAGGGGACAGCTCCCTCCCGGGCTGGGCCTGCCTGCCATCTGCTGAAATACCTGGTCTCAATCGTGACAATTCCTTCTTCTCCAGGAAAGTCTTTTTGCATGTGGCATTGTACAACACTGAGTAGAAAGTGAGAAAAACCCACCAGGTCTCAAGCTTGCAGTGGTTAGACTTATTGAGTGCAAGACAGTGGAAGGATTCTAGGAGTTTATGAAGTTAAAATGTTCTTACCAGAGAGCAGGAGGGCCATCACGAAGAGAGTGTTACTCAGTCCCATAGTGCTAGAGTTAAAAAAGAAAAGATAAAGCTTGATTAGAAAAGGAAACTGAAAACCAGTGTTCACAATAACATGACCTAGAAGTAGAGTTGGGATTCA